CTGGTATCTACCTCCTGCCACGTGGCAGACTGTGTGATCTTGGAAAGTGATTTGGCCTCTCTGGGCCTCAGAGGTTTTTGTTTTTGAGACAGGGTCATACTCTGTCACCCAGGCTGGAGTGCAGTGGTGTGATCATAGTTCAGTATAGCCTCAAACTCCCTGGCCCAAGTGATCCTCCTGCCTCAGCCTCCCACGTAGCTGGGACTACAGGCATGTACCACCATGCTCAGCTAGGTGGGCAAAACAACAGACAGGGAACGGCTCGCATTGAGCCAGGATAAAACAATCTCTGAATCTCAGTAAGGAGCAACTCCCTTTAGCTCCCTCGCCCCTCCCAGCACCCAGGATTTTGTTTCTCAGGGGTTGGGGGAGGAGGGGTAAAGGTTTGGGGCAAGGCAAAAGGGAAAGCCAGAAGCCCCAGCACTCTGGGGAATGACCTCAAGTTTGGCCCAGGGTAGGAGGGCAAGGCCCTCCCAGCAGGTCCAACCAGGTGGCTTGTGTTCTGAGTTCCCTGGCTAGTTAAGGCCAATCCATAATACTCAGCTTTCAACCAGATCAATTTCTCTGGCCCTAGATTCAAAGGCACCTGGGACAGACTGGCAAACAGTGGAGAGGGGTGTAAGGAGTGGAGACCAGTGGCCAGTGCAGCTGCAGTGGCCAGAGGAAGCTGGGCAGGATGAAAACCCAGCCCGAGACTCCAGCAGCTCATGAGGACTGGGAGGACACACAGGTCCAGCTGCCCCAGCCTAGCTTCAGGCCCCCTGTGCAGACACTGTCTGACTCAGAGCAGGTGATCTGCAAACGACTGCCAATGAACAAGATGCAAAGAATCAGGGATCCCTGGCAGATATCAAAAGGCAAGCACAGAGTGCCTGCCCTGCCCGGAGCAACGGCCCACACACTGCCCTGCCCACCCTACTGACAGCAGAGACTGCTAGAGAGTCTCAAGTCCAGGCCCTGCCATCCATTGACTGGCTCCTTTGAGCCACAGTTTCTTCATCTATAAATCAGCTGTAAATAACCCTGCCCTAAGCCCCAGGGCGACTGTACACATCACCTGAGATCAATGCCGGAGTGTGATGGGGAAGCAAGCACCTTCCCTTACATCATCTCTTTTATCCCTAATCACAACAACCCTAAAAGGCAAGTACTATTATTGCTCCATTTTACAATCGAATATGCTGTAGTTCAGAAAGGGTAAGTCACCAGCACGAGGCCACACAGCTGCCAAGTGACTAAACCAGGCTGGGTCCCAGGTCTGTGTGACTCCAGACCTAGGCTTTTCACCTCTGCACACGCCTTCCGGATTGCGCTCACAGCTTTGGTAAAACTCCTCACCAAAGTATGGGACTCTTCTCATGCCCATTGTTGTTTTATAAAACCCAAGGTAGAGAAGGGCATTGTCATGACTTTTCCTTTTTCACTCTGCCTCTCTCCTTGATGTGGAGAAAAGCAAGCTACAGTCTGCTAATTTCTGCAGTTGCAGACAATCAGAATTCCGGCCGTCTGGGAGAACCAACCTAAGAAAGCATGAAATTAATCTGTTCAAAGTTAACGTCTTGGAGGCGTCGCGTCAGTATTTGGGTTGGACGCATAACCTTGTTATCATAACACAGACGAAGCCTCACATTTAATAAGGCTGAGACAACTCGGGCAACGTAAGAAACATAACAGGATATTGCAAAAAGATTAGGGAGCTTCCTCTGGACAGTGTGGATGGGCCGTGCAGAGGGCAGGGTGGGGGATGGATGGTGCCATTGACCCTGAGGGTCCAGCAAGTCCCTAGTCCCAGGCCTGGCCTAAGGACTAAGATGCTCAGGCAGAGGGGAGCAGGGCTCCTCTCAGCACACTGAGGCCTGCCTGGTGCAGGAGCAGAGGCTCTGCTGGCTAAATGTAAGCCAGCTGCGAGAATGGGAGTGTTCCAGTCAGAAGGGGTGGGGGAGGCTTACCTCATGAAAGAACTGTGGAAACGGCTGCTGGAAAGATAATAAAAGGATTAACTGCTATTTTAGTGGACCATTTACTCTTCAATCAAAATGTCTCATCTATTTCCTGTTCTCCAGAGGCTCTGGGTCCAAAATTCCTTTGTCTATTACAGTGCATGGTAGCAGAGGCCTGTCATGAAAAATTAATAATTTTACAGGGAAGGGAGATTTTACTTATCTGGGTGCTGGTTGAGGCCCACCCCTTCCCCTGGGTTACCCACTGTACTAGCATCATGGAGGAGGGGGAGCACGCCCACCCCACCGCAGGCAAGAGGAGTCCAGGGGAGGCTCTGACAAGCCTCCGAAGCCCAGATCACTGCTGCTGTCTCCAGATGGTGACACCTAGTGGGGCCGGCCATAAGAGCCCAGAGAATAGTCAGTTTAGCAGATCTACACAAACAAGAGCATTGCAGTTTAGAAAGATGCAGGCTCGAGTCCCATTCCAATGGTTACTAACTGTGTAACCCTGAGCAAGTTATTTTTATTACCATTATCATTCTTAGCCTCTATTCTTATTATAACAGTTATTGTTTCCAACTAGCTGTGTGACCTGGGGCAAATTATGCAATCTTCCTGAGCCTCAGTTTCCTCATCTGTAAAACGGGGGTTCACAGTATCTACCCCACAGCGTTGTGTTGAGGACCAGGTAGAGTTGTCACTTAGAATAGCACCGGTTCACAGTCTGCACTTGGAAGCTGCTTTCCGGTATTATCATCACCACAATCCTAAACCCTGGAAGAGGCAAGACCAAGTGTTCTCATGGGAGCAGGTGGAAGGCCTGCCAGACCCCACCCAAGCTTTGTTTCTTCATCTGTAAAAACCCTTGGTTTCACAGGACTTGTAGGGATTCATACTGATAGATGAGTGTAGACATAGCTTGATATCACCTCCTCCATGAAGTCCTTCTGGGCCTTCCTTCCCTGGGCCTATGCAAACTCCATCCCAGGACCTGCCACTCATCTCCCACCCATCTCTGAGCATGAGCATCCCCAGGGCAAGGACCATGGCAGGTCCAAGTCTGGGTCCCCAGAGTCAGGCCTCAGCCAGTATAAGCCAGGGTCCTGTGAAGTCTGTGGAATCAAGTGAGATCCTGGCAGCCTGGCCCCAGAGAGAGAGACCCTGAGTCTGCACTGAGTAACCCGGGTCCCGCTGGGCCCTGCTTCTCAAGCTAGAAAGTGGATGGGGAAGGCCTAGATCCTCTCCAAGTTCCCGAACGTCCAACACAGATACTCTTCTGGATGCCGTGATTCCACACAGAGGCCCCACTGTGAGAAGACCACTAACCACAGACACAATCCAGGTGTAAGACAGTGTCCTATGGAGTCTTGTCAAGGTTTCTTCAGGTCACAGAGCCTCCACCTAGGCCCCCACAGGCACCCATGGGCTCACTCATAAGAGAGAATCTGTGAAGGAGAACTGTGGCTCAGCAGCTGTCAGCTCCAGGGTCTCGGGGAGAGATGGGGGCCCAGCTGGTTCCCAGCAGCCCTGGCCTGGCCTGCGTGCTGTCTGTTGGTCAACTCCTTCTAGGCAGGGTCATGTGTCACAGGACCCCCAGACAAGCCAGAGCATCGCTAGGGGCTGGCCCAGCCACCAGGCTTCCTCCAGCATCCTGTCAGCCCAAAGGCACAAGATAAAGTCAAAGTCTCAGCCTGTCCAGTGCACTCTCCCTACCACTGCTCCACACATCAGAATGCTAACCACAAGCTCCCTCCTCCTGCCTCCCCTCCGCACAGGCCATTCACTGCTGCTCACTTGTTTACAAAGCAAACTCTTTCTCCTCCTTCAAGACCCAGCCTCCTGAAGCTGCAGAAACAGAACCTGTCCGACGCCCCGCTCCCAGCTCCACAGGTGGGTGGGGCCCACAGGAGGACAGAGTTTATGCTGCTGACTGCCAGTGTGTCCTGCCTCCTTCCTGGCCCTTACAATGTCACCCTGGGCTCTGAGTGGGGACACTATGCCCCTTCCCAGACCAAGTGCTCCATGAGTGGGGGGTCCAATGACAGTGTCAATGTGCAAGTGTGAAACAGCTTGACTTTGGCTATGGCACCAGCCCCAGCACACCAGCCATGCTGCTGCCCTGATGCCTGGGTGGGCTGGGCAGTGGCCCTGGTGGCCCATGCTTCTCATCACCAAGCACACCCTGAGGTCCAGCTCTGGGCAGGTACCTCTCCTGGTGGGCTGGCTGGGCCTCGGAGGTGGCACAGCAGTTAGGCTGAGTGTATCAGGGAGTGCTCCTAGCCTCTGATACAGCTATTCCCCCACAGACGGGACAGAAATGACCTGTCACAGAAATGACCCATCATAAGGGCCGGAGGCCTGGGTACCCACAGTTAATATGCGTGCGTGTGTGTGTGTGTGCGTGCATGTGTGTGTGCACGTGCGCATGCACGCATAATGCTAGTGCCAGAAACCTGTCTCAACTCCAGGAAGAACGCCGCTGGTACGACCCAGGGCCTTAGCTAGTAATCCTGGGCCCCAGCCCAAAGCCTGCCCTGGGGCCCCGCAGCTCTCCAGCCGGGTGCCTGTGAGGCCCCACTGTTCCTTGGTGGAAGCCAAGGCTGTAGGCAGCACCAGAAGGCCCAGGGAATCTCACTGGGATGGGTGGCGGTGAGGGCCCAGTGCTGGAGAAGAGCATGTTCTCCACATCTCATTTGGCCACCAGTAGGTGGGACATGGAGCAAACACATGGAAGAAGAGGGTGGCCACACCTGTTTTTCCAATCGCACGTGCACACAGCCCCAGGCCCTGTGGCATGCTAAGATATATCTAATGCCTCAGGGTGGGGGACTGGGCACCTGATGAGTATGAGGGCCCCTCTGCCACAGTTTCCAGTGACAGGGGCAGTGACTATCTTCACCAGTGGCTACATCCACAGCATGGGTCCTTCCCTCCATGACCACAGGGATCTCAGTCAGCCCCGAGGAAGGAGTCCCAGGTGGCCTCTCCTGGGGCACTGGGTGGCTGCTGCTGTGCCAGAGGGGCTGGGGTGAGGCCTGGTGGCCAGTGGGAACTCACCATGCATTTGTTGGGCTTCTCGCCCGAGTGCACCCGCATGTGGATGAGCAGCTTGTAGCGGGCGTTGAAGGGCTTGTAGCGGCGCACACAGCCAGCCCAGAAGCAGGTGAAGTCCTCGCCCTTGCGCTGGTCGATGTGGCTCTTCTCGATGTGCCGCACCAGCTCCTCCTGCTGCTCATAGGCTGCACAGCAGTCCACCCAGCGGCACGCCTGCTGCCCGGCCACTACCCTGCCCGCCAGGCCCAGCCCCAGGCCTCCAAGGCTCGGGCCAGGCGGCAACTGAGACAGGGGATAGGGGGGCGGCAGGTCCTGCTGGTGAGGCCCAAAGAGCTCTGAAAACTCATCCGCGGGTTCCTGCTTCAGGAAGCTCGCCTTCCGGCAGGCTTCAAGTTGCAAGCTGCCCTCATGGCTGTCCGTCGATGCAGGGCCAGGCCGGGTCCGCTTGGAAGGGCCCCCGGGGTCTCCCGCCAGAGGGGGGCTCCGGAGTCCATTTACACAGGTGACCAGAGACATCTGGGAGGAGCGGATGATGGAGGTGACGTCGGAGGAGGCACAGGGTGAGGAGGAGGCTGGGGAGGTGGGGGGTAGGCCCAAGAGGCAGCAGCGCTTCAGGCTGCCCTCAGGGAGGTGGGCCTCGGGCTGGGGGCCAGGGCCAGAGCTGGGTTCGCTGCCCAGAAGGTAGCAGGAAGGCGCAGGGGTGGTGAGGCTTCGGCCCGGGAGGTCCAGGTCTGGGTGCAGGCAAGTGGCCGGCGGGGCCCGACAGTGGGCAGACAGGGACGTGCGGGCCTCTGCCATGGCTTGGTAGTTGGGCAGCGACTCCTGTTTGATGTGTTGTGTGGTTGGGAGGCTGCCGTTCACATAGGTGGCCTGGGGTCTGGGCGACCTGGAAGACAGTGGCCAGAGAGGTCATGAGAGGCTGGGCATGCCACAGAGGGAAGGCCCAGGCTGGGGCAGACAGGGAAGCTGAGGACCAAGGAATGGACAAGCCCAGGGCAGGAGACAGAGGCTGAAGGCTGAAGGCAGAGAAACAGCACCTACAGATTGGTTGTCTGGAAAACAAGGCAGAGTGTAAAGGAAAATGGGGAGAGAGAGAGAGGAAGAGGAGGGCTGGGGAAGGAAAGAAGAGGCAGGAGGCCAGGCACAATGGCTCATGCCTATAATCCCAGCACTTTGGGAAGTCAAGGCAAGAAGACTGCTTGAGTCCAGGAGTGTTCAAGACCAGCCTGGGCTACATAGTGAGACTCTATCTCTACAAAAAAATTTACAAATTAGACAGGTGTGGGGTTGTGCACCTGTAGTCCCAGCTACTTGGCAGGCTGAGGTAGCAGGATCGCTTGAGCCCAGGAGGTTGAGGCTGCAGGGAGCCAAGGTCATAACATGCACTCCAGGGTGAATGTGGTGAAACCACCAGGAAGGAGGACCTTGCATCCTTTTACCAAAGCTCAGCACCCCTACCCAACCCCGAATGCCACGCCATCTTGCCTCCCAGGGGCTTCCCTGCTCCCTCTCCGTGGCCTTCTAGTGAGTTCTCCAGGAAGAAGGCTGAGGCTGGCATTTTGAGGAACACCCAGATCCAGGGTATATTAAATTCCACTTACATGCCCCTTAAGTCTTTCTTAATTTTTGTAATCTAGCTTAACTTCTACAAATGCTAATTGTATGATACTTTGCCCCAAGCAGCCTGGCCTTTCCACTGTTAATGTCAGTGCATGCGGGAGTGTGAAGTGCAGTCCTGGTGGGGGTGTCTCAGGAGGAACTGAGGCAAAGCTTCTGAGGGGTCCCAGGGATTCAGGCCCTCACAATGTGTCTGCATGAAACTGCGATTTTGGGGAAAAGCCATGGTGCAGGCCAGGCAGGGCAGCCCATGGGAGTATGTGGGTTTGAGATCAGGCTCAGCCACATTCAGCCATGCAAACTTGGGCAACGTCCTTTGCCATCCTGGGCCCTTCTCCTCCTCTGGGACATCAGGTGGATCCTTCCCATGAGAGCAAGGGTGGATATGTGGGCACGCCTGCGGTTTGCCAGGTGACTGTCTTCACCACATAAGTGGTATACAGGAGTCCAGAGGGCCTCTCCCAGATGTGGAGCATTCCCTCCGCCACTGCACAGGAGGCCAGGCTTAAAGGACGCAAGGAGATTCCTGCACTGATGCTTCCACCATTCTGAGTGGCGGGACCAGGTAAGGTGCAGAGAGGGACGGCAGGGCCTGCCTGTCACCAGAGCACTCTGAAAAGGGGAAAGGTCAGGAAGGTGAGGTGGGGCTGAGGGTCAGGAAGCCCCTCTGGCTGGCTAGGCAGAACAGGAAGCCTGATGCTATGCCTGAAGTCTGGCTAGAACACCCCATGCCACCTCATCCCATCTGAACCTCAGTTTCCTTGCCCGTAAAATGGGGGCTAAGTCTACCTTAGAGGCTGGCTGCCAGATCCAGTGAGATGGCCCCATGACAGCCCTCTGCGAGGGGGATGGCAGGGTGAAGGGAGCTCTTATCGCTGCTGTTCTACCGCCACTGTCTTGGGGCTCTCTGAAGCCAGAGCTGTGGGGTCATCACCTGTCCCTCGGTTTCCCAAGATGGCCTTGCAGCTCCAGCCCCTCTATCTGTGGCTCCCTGCAGTTGCAGCATCCCCATCTCCAGTCATGAGGTAGAGGCGAGGGGAATGGACAGGGAAGAGGGAAAGCCAGAGTCTGGAGGCCCTCAGACAGCATGGGCTCCAATCGCATCACACACAGGTGGGAAAGGGGCTGAGAGGGCGCAAGGCCTGCACGCAGGCGTACAGCAGCAAGCCGGGGCCAGGCCTGGCCAGAACCCCCATTCCCCTTCTCTGGAGTGCAGGTGTTTTTTCCTATGTTGAACTGACCTGAAGCTCCCCTTGAATGAAGGGGAAGGGGAAGGGCTTTTCTGTTTGTTTCTCAACTACACCTAGCGACCTCTTCCCTCCCAAGAACCATAATCTAAGTGGTCATTGGGGGAGTCAGAAGGAGGTTTGAGTCCAAGGTAGACAGCAAACACGCATCTCCTCTCCCCAGGGCTGGGCACACTGCCCCCACCATTGCCAGCAGAAAGCTCTGAGTATCTTAAAGATCTGATGGAAAAGTGGTAACTTTATAGGGCTTAAAAAAAATAAAAGCAGGTCAGGCGCGGTGGCTCATACCTGTAATCCCAGGATTTTGGGAGGTCGAGGTGGGCAGATCACCTGAGGTCAGGAGTTTGAGACCAGCCTGACCAACATGGAGAAACCCCGTCTCTACAAAAATACAAAAATTATTCAGGCATGGTGATGCATGCTTGTAATTCCAGCTACTCAGGAGGCTGAGGCAGGAGAACTGCTTGCCCAGGAGGCAGAAGTTGCAGTGAGCCAAGATCGTGCCATTGCACTCCAGCCTGGGCAACAAAGCGAGACTCCATCTCAAAAATAAATAAATAAAAGCAGAGCTGCTCCTCAGGGGACTGTGATCCTGGGCCTGGCAAAGGCAGGCATGGGCAGGAGTTCGGCCAGGAAAACATCTATTTGGAGCAGTCCCTTGAAAATGGCTTCACGTAAATCAACCAACACCAAGAGAAGAGAACAGCGGTAGCTTCTGTGACTGAGTTACCCAAGTGACTAAGACTGACAGCAAAACCTTGCGCAGCATCAGGTCGGGAGGGTGACTCAGGCCTTGGTGTCTTGTGGCTCCCCAAATGCACTGAGGAAGTACTGCCTTCCTTCCTCCACTGTACTGTGAGGCCCAGGAAGTGGTTCCGGCCTGGCTCTGCTGCTGAGCCCTGTGCACCCCAGGACAACTCCCATCACATCTCTAGAAACTGCAAGCCTGGGTCTCTAGACAGAGTGAACAACTGCTGAGCAGCTGAACGTGCCGGGTGCCTTCCCAAGGGTCATCTAATGCAATCCTAGCACAGCAGAAGATGTGGTAGTATCTGCTGAATACATGACTACACGCCTCACGGGATATTCCGCCATCTGTTTTACACTTAGGAAAACTGAAGCGACCTGCCCGAGCCTGCAAGGCAGTGATAGAGCAGGAACTGGAATCTGGATCTGTGTGACTCAGAAGGTTGGGGCTCCAGCTTTGTCTATAGAATGATTTCATCTGACGACTATTACATTCCTTACAGCTTCAATGTTCTAAGTATCAGAGATGCACATGTTCTTCTGTCCATAATCCTGGACCCTGGAAGGGAGCTGCTGAGATTGGGACAGTCAGTGTTTCTCCAGCAGAGACTCAGGGGAGAGGTAGGGATCTCAGATTTCATGCCCCTGAGGGGTCAGCAACTGTAGTCTGAATGAAGGGTCAGTGATTTCACTCAACAGGCTTTTCACTCTGTGCTAGGTGATGCTGAAGAAGTGGGGAAGACCAGGTCCCTAACCTTGGGCAGCTCCCCTTCCAATAGGGGAGTCTGTGGACCAGTCCCCTGAGAGAACATTTACATTCTGCTGAGGAGTAGGTAGAGTTCTGGTGAACAGAACTAGTTATGTAGCCTCTCTAGCCTCAGTTTCCCCACTCAACGGCAGTTGGGGGTTGAGAGCATTAATGCATAAAAAGTGCTCGGCCCGGTGAAACCCCATCTCTACTAAAAAAAAAAAAAAGAAAGAAAGAAAAAAAAAAACTACAAACAATTAGCTGGGCGTGGTGGCTGGTGCCTGTAGTCTCAGCTACTTGGGAGGCTGAGGCAGGAGAATGGTGTGAACCCGGGAGGCGGGAGCTTGCAGTGAGCCGAGATCATGCCACTGCACTCCAGCCTGGGCGACACAATGAGACTCCGTCTCAAAAAAAAAAAAAAAAAAAAAGTGCTTGGCCTGGGGTGTAATGCGCAGTAAGCACACCACCATCATTTTTTATTAGCCGTAGGATCTGGGCCTTCTGGGACCATGAGGACTGAATAAGAGAATGTACACCCGAAGGAGTCACTCAGGAAACTGGGGCTATTTTTATTAGTATTAGAGAGTTAGGCTGGAGGCAAGGAGACGGCTGGCGCAGGAGCCCAGGCGCTAGTTGCAGGGTCCTGAGATTGGGAGGGGCAGGCACCAAGAGTGGAGAGAAGGGGCCCCAAACATAAGCCCATTGGGCGGTTGGGGGAAGGCACGGAATTCGGATCAGGTGTGGCACAGGGGTGGGGATCTGTTTTCCTTTAGGAAAATGAGTGAGTCTGAAAGTGTCAGCTCAAATTCAACCCTATTAAATTCAATTTAATAGGGAGGGTATGGGGGCACAGCAACTTAGACTGATGCCGGCGTAGAATTCTACATACAGACTCTCCTGTGCCGTAAATTGTCAAAATGATATTCAAAATGACAAATGATATTTCTGACTGTCTCTAGCAAAAGAAAAAAAAAAATCCTCCTCCTTAGCTTTTCCTAGATTAGCACAGCTTCTACCCTGAGAGATAATAGAATGAATTTCACCAGGGAAATTGGATACCACTGGAGAGCCTCCAGAGAAGAATCCAGTAGATAAATGCATTTGACTGTCACCAAACAATGCACAGCTCAAAGTCTAAAAGACGCTTCATCCTTGCTATGGACTGATTTGTGTGCCCCCAAAATTTATACGTTGAAGCCCTAACACCCAGTGTGACTGTGTTTGGAGATACAGCCTTTAAATAAATAATTAAGGCTAAACGAGGTCATAAAGGTGAGATCCTACTCTGATAAGACAGGTGTTCTTATAAGAAATGAGGGTCGGGCACGGTGGCTCATGCCTGTAATCCCAGGACTTTGGGAGGCTGAGGCAGGTGAATCGCTTGAGCCCAGGAGTTCGAGACCAGCCTGGCCAACATAGTGAAACCCTGTCTCTACAAAAAATTAGCCAGGCGTGGTGGCATACGCCTGTAGTCCTAGCTGCTGGAGTGGTTGAGGTGGCAGGATCACTTGAGCCTGGGAGGTTGGGAGCCTTGGGAGGCTGAGGCAGGAGAATGGTGTGAACCCGGGAGGCGGAGCTTGCAGTGAGCCGAGATCGTGCCACTGCACCCCAGCCTGGGTGACAGAGTAAGACCCTGTCTCAAAAAAAAAAGAAAAAAAAAGGAGTTAGGGCACAGGCCGAGGGATGGCCACATGAGGACTCGGCGACAAGATGGCCACCTGTGAGCTAAGGAGAGAGGCCTCAGAAGAAACCAAACCTGCTGGCACCTCAGTCCTGCACTTCTAGTCTCCAGAATGGTGAGAAAGCACAATTCTCTTGTTTAAACCACCTAGTCCATGGCATTTGCTATGGCAGCCTAAACAAATGAATACACGCCTAAAATCAGAAGTTTTACTAATATCAAAGGAAGCCAGAAGGAATCTAAATTCTCAAAGGAAAATGGTTGCACTTGGGAAGAACAGCATCCTTCTATTGAGGAATTTCTCCACTGTGGGGCTCCCACAAGAACGTAAATTCCATCGGGGGAGATCTTTGCTTCCTTCACCAAGATGCTCCCAGCACCGACCACAGTGCCTGGCACATGACAGGCACTTGACAAATGGCTGGTGAAGGAATAAACTGCAAACCAGCCACTGGGCAAATGTTTAGAATCTCTGGTCTGTGAAGCAGGCCTCAGCCCAGCAGCCCCAGGCAGTGGGTGAGAGGCCTGGGGCTAAGCTCGTGTGCACAGAGGCCGGTCTGTGACTGACCTGACTGTCAGCAAACCAGAGAGCACCAAGGCTGCTATGGTTTGAATATCTGTTCCCTCCCAAACTCATGCTGAAACTTAATCCCAAATGTGGCAGTGTTGAGAGGTGGGGCCTTTAAAAGGTGACGGGGTTGGGTCATGAAGGCTCTGCCTCATGTATGGATGAATCCGTTCACGGGTTAAAGGATGATCATGGGAGTGGGACTGGTGGCTTTATGAAACGAGAGGGACCCGAGCTAGCGTGCTCAGCCCCTTCACAGGTAATGCCCTGTGCCACCTCAGGACTCTGCAGAGACCCAGCCAGCAAGAAGGGCCTCACCAGATGCAGCCCCCCAATCTTGGACTTAGCCTCCAAAACTATAAGAAGTAAATTCCTTTTCTTTATAAATTACCCAGTGCCAGGTATTCTGTCAATATCTAACAGAAAACAGACTAAGACAAAGACACAACTGAGACCCCAGGAGAAGCTGTAGGAGGCGGGTGTCAGCCCAATGCACACCCTAATGAGACAGGGTGGCTGGCACTGGAAGTGTGCAGGCACTGAGCAGACAGCTACCCAGCAGGGCTTTGTGGGCCATGGTCTCCTGGGGCAGAGATGGCACGTGGGAGGAATCCCTCTCTGCCCTATCAGCAGTTCAGGGTTTGACACTCCATAAACTCTGAGCTGGGTTTTCCTTCCCCAACCTACCCATGAATCTTCCTCTTCTGAAATGATTGATTCTCTGTGAAAAGCTCCGTCTGCTTATTCAGCAGGGAAACACCTCAACAGAACCATCCTTGTGTCTCTCAGAAGGCAAAGCAGGAGGTGCAGGATCTAGGCCAGGCAGCCGCTTCTGAGCTACGGGCCCCTCGTGCCTCCATTTCCCCATGTGTCCCCCCAGCTAAACACAGGAGGTGAGGCCTGACGCCCTTGGTCCTGGGGCCTCCTGGGAGTGTCCACAGAAAGCAGCTGCCCACACCTACCTGTTAGGGTGGGGAAAATGCAGCAGCCTCTCACAAGCTTGGGGGTGAGCCCGAGGTGGCGGGCTTCCTGCAGGGAGAAACAGGCCCTGGCAGCAGGTGGGGCCAGGGCCCTCAGCAAGGTCCAGGTCCAGCAGGCTCTTCTCTGAGCCCGGGGTGCAGTGGCCGTAGCTTCCATTCACTAGGCAGAGAAAGACAGGGAGAGAGGGATACAGTGAATATGAACAGCCTGCTGAGGGGTGTGGGGAGAGGGCAGTCCCTGGGGTACAGCAAGGGACAGGGCGCCCAGAGCCACACTCACTGCATCCCTGCTGCATGCAAGGTTCCAGGATACCTCATCTAATTCCCACAACCACCAGCAGGATCGATAATAAAATCCTCCATTCTGAGGTAGGGATGCTGGGTCTCTGGTGGTTAAATGACTGTTACATGAACACTGGACACTTCCTATGTACAGACACTGTTCTAGGTGCAGGAAACACTGGTAAACAAGAGAAACTCCGAGTCTCTTGGAGCGTACAGTGTATTATCCTCATGTTAACCACATGGTGCTCATGAGGCAAGATGTGAGAACACCAGCTGGGGCGGGTGGCTGCTCAGCTGCGCTGCTGCCCACAGGCCAGAGGGAGCAGGGCTGACATGTGGATGTCAAGGAGTAGGTGCTCACTAAACAGCATCTGGTACTGTTAACACAAAAGCTCAGTCTACGTTGCCTTCCAAATTGTGTTACACCATAGAAACACAGTGTGCAGTTATACCTCGCTATCACCTGATTCCTCCACAGCCTGCTTCATGCCCTGCCTCGCCCTGCTAGTGGGTTTCTAGGAAGATTAACTGAAGCAGTTGATGTGAAAGTGCTGAAAAACCACATAAAGTGTAACAAAAGAGTCAGGTGTGCTTGTTCGAAGCTCCTTCCCCTCTCTGGGCCTCAGTTTCCTCATCTACAGAAGAAGGAAACACACCTCCAAACTCTATCTTCTTACGCTGTCCTATAACTCACAGAGCAAAGCTAGGGAGGAAAGGACATGAACTTTGGGGGCTGACAGACCTACTCTGCCCCAAACCAATTCCATAACTCGGACAAATCCCTGTGCAGGGTGGACCCTGTTTCCCCTGTGTAAAATGGGGCCAGTTTCACCCGTTCCCCAGTGATGCTGTGAGCCTCTGAGAACAGAGGCACAAAGTCCCTGGCACAGTGCTGAAACCTAGCAGATACGCCAAGAAGGAAAATTGTTCTTATTGTTAAACAGCACTTCAACAATTACAAAGTGCCTTGCAGATACAATAAAACATGATTGATAGGCCCAAGTATGGCCAACACTGAGAAAGATAAACCATTAAGACGTGAAAAAAACCTGGTCCCAGAACATGATTGACTCCTTACCACGAGGAAAAGGACATCAGCAAGAGCAGCATCTGCCGAGCAGCCTGTGTAGAACCAGGGCTGGGGACACACACCACTGTCTCACTTGAGCATCCCCACTGCTGTCCAAGGGAGGCCCGAGTCTCACTATCCCCATTTTACAGAGGACAAAACAGAGGCGTGGGGAGGTTCAATTACTCACCCAAGAACACACAGCTAGGAAGCCTCTGAGTTGGATTTCCGGATCAGATCTGTCAGACCCAAACCCCACATCTTAATCGCTATGTAATAATAAGAAGCCTTTTAGAGAGTCTGCCCCTGAGGATCCCTGTCCCTCAACCCTAATTCTAGCCTGCCCACAAGGCAGTTCCTTCGGCACACTATTATCCCCGTGCCGAGGCCGGGCACTCAGTGCTAACTAGCCACGTGCCATAGCTCTGGAGAGGCACCAGGCATGTGCTTGCCGAGCACGTTCCAGTCTGTGGATGAGCATGCAATGCTCACAAGGTCCCAGGGCAGGTGAGGTGCTCATATAGGAGCCTCCAGGTTCCCAGTCACACGCGAGCCTATGGAGAGGACTCAGCAAACATCTGCTCCCACGCCACCTTCCCAGCCCCAGCCCCAGCCCCAGCCCCAGTCCTGGCCCGTCCTGCTGCAAGCAATGCTTTTTCCCACTGGCCCTGGCTGCTGCCTGGCCAGCCCCTCACAAGCTTATGTTTTAATAACTGGGCTTTTAATTAAAATGAAATCCCTGGTAACAAATGTGAATGGCCTGAGTTAATGAGAGCAGGCTGCCGTTCATTTAACTCCGTCTCTGCTTGGCAGTCTTTGCTTTTTCCAAATCGTTTCTGCATGCAATTTTATTGTCCCATTGAGGCAAACCCTGGGACTGGGCCTCAGAAAACTGTAGATAATTTTATGAGCATTATTAGCATTTGGAGCAGAGAGTGCTTAATCATCACATGGGGCAGTTTCACCAGGGTCTTTCTCCCAGAGTCTCTAACGGGGGTACCGTTCAGAGCTTCCTTCCAGGACTCACCAGGCCCCTCTGGGGCCCTGGGTTACTCCTCCCCTCCTGCACTTAGGAGGCTGTGTGCAGTGAAGGAAGACAGGCCCTAGAAAGGGTGGAGAGGCAGCACCTACCAAGCCCTCACCCATCAAGCCCTTCAAGGGTCCATCCCTGTGGGGCAGGGGCAGGACAGCCATTTCCCAGATGAGAAAGGCAAGGTTTGGAGAGAGATTCTGTGCCTTTGAGCAGGCCTGGGGGTCTGTAAGAGGCAGGGCCACAGTTCAAACCTAGATCTCCCAGACTTCGAAGCCCACAATCTGCTGCCTCTTGGCCAATTGCTGAATAACCAGAGACCCCTAAATAAGTGTCCCCACCTTTGACTCCAATGAGGGTCATGTTGGAGAGCCTCTGGGAAAGTAAAAAGTAAAACCATCATAATGATGTCTAAGCTTTAATCTTTGCAATAATTCTGCCAGAAGGGTAAGCACACTCCACTGACAGATGAGGACACAAAGGCTCAGAGGGGTCAAAGCAGTTTGCTAAGGTCACACAGGGAAGAAGGGGCTGAGTGGAGATCAAACCCATCACTTCTACGGGAAGAAATAGTCTATACTCAACAAACTACTGAGGACTGTTAGCTTCTTTTCCTCTGGATACAGTAAAAGGTTTTCCTGCAGTAAATAAACAAGCCAGCTTTGGGAAGGAGGGAGGAAGGCGCCACTCAGGTCATAGAATGGTGCCACTTAGTGCTCTAGGCTCATTCAAGCCCTTGTCTGCCAGGACCCTCACAGCGCTCTGGGTAGAAACATCAACCTCCCAACTTTGCAGAGGGACACTGAGCACCAGAGCCAGCAAGTAGCCACTCAAGGTCATATAGTAATTGCTGGCATAGCCGGGGCCCAAAGTTGGTTTCTCAAAGCCTAGACTCTGCCCCGGGATACCTGCTGTCTCAGAGACTGGAAGTTAAATCCAACGTTGCAACACGTGTCCCAGAAGTGCTGTTGGGACTCTCACCGCTACCCATCACGGGCCTACATCTGCCAGGAAGGATGTAGGCACTGCCTCGTCTGTTGTCTTGCCTCCCTGTCCCCAATAGCTTCACAAGACCCAGATGGAGGAGGACCACCCCTGTTCACTCTCCATCTCCAGACAGCGTTGATACATGGATCCTTCCCTGGGAAAGCTGGGGGAGCAGGGGTGCCCTAGAAAGGGGTTGGCATCCGCAACCATGTCTCACTCTGTGCCACAGGGGGCCAAGAGCCAACCTTGGGTCTGGCTTTCCCCATGCAAGTGAAGTTCCTTTGGAGACTTACAGCGTGATGGAGTCCTGTATTTACTTTTACAAGTTAGTGAGAAATCCTAGAATGTCAGAGTTGGGACTGGCTGACCATCTACTTCATTAATAGATAAGAAGCTAAGGCTCAGAGAAGGAAAGGGCCTGCCCCAGCCACACAGCAAATCCATAGCAGGGCCTGGATTGGCACTTTTTAAGCTAGGTAAGAATGTGGTTTGGTTTTCTCATCAAGCGTCAATCTTCTTATCTGTAAAATGGTGCTAACACCTAACTCACAAGGTTGACGTGACAAATGAGAATATGAACATGATGCATTTGGCATGAGGTCTCGCTCACAGTTAGTGCTTAAAAAGTAAAGTGATGATAATTATTTCTCTTATTTCTCCTTGAGCCTGGGGCAGGGAGACAGGGACCTGTAAGGGAAACACGCTGTCCCCAGAAAGGGCAGGTCTGGATGATTCTAAGGCCAGACTCAGAATGACAAACCCCCAAGACTTGGGATTCAGTACATGCAGGATGGGGCAGCCTGAACGAGGTCACAGCCAACAAATCTGAAGCAAACAGCTCTAGTTACACACCAGAGAGCTTTGCAAATTACCATAATGACTTGGCTATAAAGCGGCACCACATATAAGGTGACTCCCCACAAGAATTTTAATTTATGCTGAACCCTGCCAAGTCTGCGTGAGAGTGGACAATGATGCATTCAGCATCTAAGACCCAGAGGCTGCCTCCTTGCAGTCCCGGGAGCATCTAGCAGCTGGGTCCAGGCAGATCTACATCATGACTGCCTTCTTCTTCACCCACAAGCAGTTTTAGTGCCTATCAGGCACTGGGCAGGTGATAGGGCACTGCACTTTATAGTTTACAAAACATTTTTGCAGCCATCACCTATGAGCTTCATTACAACCTCAGGAGTTGGCTGGGCAGGCTCAGAGAGGGTAGGTGATTTGCCCAAGCTCCCACAGCAAGTATAGGGCTTAGACTTGCCTGACTCAGCCATCTAGTCAGCAAACTTTTTCTGTAAAGAGCAAAAAAGTAAATGATTTAGGTTTTGTGAGTATATAGTCCCTGCCACAACTAAACTCTGCCCTTGTACCATAAAATATATATATGTGTATGTGTGTATGTATATGTATGTGTGTATATATATATGTGTGTGTGTGTGTATAAACAAATGAGTGGGACTGTGTTCCAATAAAACTTTATTTAGAAAACAGATTGCTGGCTCCTAGGCTGTTAATCTGCCAACGCCCGATCTCATGCAGCAGTGAGAGAGACAGGATTCAACATCTGAAATGAGCACACTTTTTCCTGTATCTGTAAAATGGGGAGGATTTTACAGGGTGGAGCTGAGGGTGTGAAATCACTGTCAAATACTGAACACAGGCCTGGCTCCTGGTGGGCATTCAATGAATAGAAGTGCCTTCAGCCTGGCTCTGGGGCTGCTACAGTCTAGGCTCCCCTGTCCACCTGGTGTGACCTCACACATCCATGATGCTTCGCTGCTCTGAGGCACACATCCTCGGCATCCCGTCAGGGTGGCCTGACCCTTCCAAACCCCTCTGGGCCCTCAGAGCCCAGCAGAAGCACACGTCTTCCTGGAACAGTCCTTGGTCTCCTGCCTTCCCTCCTGGTCTCCCCCACTGCCTGAGCTCCCGGCCTTGGCAGTCCCTGCAAATAGCTGCCACTTAGGCGCACCTTCTGCACACCCAGCACGTGCCAAATCCTTCCCATGGTTTTTCTCTAAATCTTCACAACATCACTACAGTACTCTCTACTGCCACACAGATGCTTTCAGTGCAATGAAAGTCCTACCTCCCCTACAATCCTGAGAAATCCTTCAGGACAAGGATCTCGGAGCCCCAGAGCTGCTGAACGTCAGTGTGGCCCTCGGTATGATTTTGTCCAACTTGCTTCACATATTGAAGGGAAAACAGGGGCCCAGATTGAAGAAAGGACTTGTCATAGTCACACAGTGAATGTGTTCTCTAGACACCTGGGCCCCCTAGGCATGTGCCTCCTCATTCCCTCATTCCCAGCACAAAGGCCCACAGTAGGTGCTTAGAAATGCTGGGAGGGTAGGTGGCTGGGAGGCTTGTCTCAAGTTTACTTTTGTGCCTATTATATGCCAGACACTGTGACTTAGGGGAGCGGAAGAAGCTTTGTCACACACACACCTAAGTTGAAGTCCTGCTCCACCATTAACTTTCTAGTTGTTTGACCCTAGACAGTCACCTCAGCCTTCTGAGCCTCAGTTTCTTCATCTATAAAATGGGGATAAGAATCCCAGCTCCAGGGGATGGCTGGCTCTTAGGATTAAGTGAGGTAATGTACATGGAGTCTCTGGCATGGTGCCTGGCACAGGCAGCACTTTGATAAAGGCCCTCTGCTGCTGCTCGGACAGGCAGGGAGACAAGGTCAACAGCCGCTGGGGTAGACCTATCTTCCTGGGCAGTGGGCATCAGCCACCACGGAAGAGCAGCCCCAGGCCAACGGAGTCATGCCAGCAGCCCTTCCCCAGGAGGCTGAGTATGGGTGTGGCAGCCCGCTCTCTGAGCCTAGCTTTGCCCTCTGTGCCCCAGGAGTCCTCCACCAGGCTTCCCACGAGCCAGGCCCTGGCAGGAGGGGCACCTCAGGAATCACAGACAGGAGACACGGTGCTTCCCACTTCCCAGGTCCAGGGTGGGTGAGCAACTCACCGCAGGACACGCAGCAGAGGCAGAGCCTGAGCTGTGTTCATCTCCTAACCCTTTCTGCTCTCTGGGCTGCCTCGTCACTCTCTCTTTTCCCTCCTCACAAAACCCAGAAGCCCAGAGACCAGCAAGGAGAGGGGCTTCT